CAATAATGTATAGTGCACTGAAACAGAGGAGGGAGAAAACTGTTTAAAAGAGAAGAGGCTTTTTACTAGGAAATAAATGAGGTCACGTGGTAGGATAGAGGAAATGAGGCTGTAATTTTGAAGAAGTTACAGAGTGAAAGCATTAAACGAGACACAAGCCCACTGTTCTTATAAAAATTTTATTTTTGGTGGTTCATCTCTAAGTTAATGGGGTTAATAGGAGATGTAGCCATTTTACTGCCTTTTTCATGTCAGTAATTATCTTGATGGAAGATGTCAGGGCATTAGAACAATTGTTAAAATTTAGAGCAACTATGACTAAATATAGTTACCTGATAACACTTATTTTCCTAGAAAACAATGACCTAATGATTCTAGCTTAATAGAATAAGTAAATGAAAGAATAAAATTAGATTGTGTTTTCCCCCAAGAGTGAAAAAGATGAAAATCAAGAAATATTGAAGGCTTTCAAGTTATTTGATGATGATGATACAGGAACCATAACACTAAGCAATATTAAGAGAGTTGCTAAGGAACTAGGAGAAAATTTAACAGATGAAGAACTTCAGGTAAATTATGCATTTATTCCCTTATAGTACATACAGGAGTATACAAATGTGAATTATAGTTCTATATATTAAAAATAAAATCTGTCTTAAAGTATATATATTGAATATATTATTACTCTTTTAATATCTTTCATTCAAACTTTTTTTCTTAATAGGAAATGCTTGATGAGGCTGATCGTGATGGTGATGGAGCAATAAATGAGGAAGAATTTCTGAGAATTATGAAAAAGACTTCTCTTTATTAGAGTTGTTTCTTTGTTTCTTTTTGAGGATTGTTTATGTATTTGTTACACAATTCTACATTTGATTCTCTGAATGTTTTCATTTTCAATTTATAATCCATATGGCAAATGACACATTTCTACCAATATACATTAAATCTGTTTCATCACGAAAACGGAAAATTGAACGACTTACTTTAACTATGATTCCAAGAACAGTATTAATTTCAAATGCCATGTGTAATGCCCCAGGTCCCAAAGAATTATAATATTTTCTAAGTTTCATGAACCTGGCTTTTTAGCCAAATAATTTGGCAAATATGGCATTACTTTCTTTAGTATTTTTTTCTTGTGTAATTAAAAAAACCTAATAAGCATTTGATTTTTAATCTGTTATTAAAATATATGTAAAGTATTAAATAAAACTGGCAATTATATTTTTAAAAAGGGGTTTTGTGAGTCAGTTATGGTTTAGCAGAAGTAGTTGGCTGTACATCAGTTGGAAGGGTTTTAGAAAGGACGGTGAGCAGAGTGTTGTTCAGATACATATGGGCTAAGGCAATAGGAAGTAAGACTTGTGTAACTTGACAGTCAGTTTAGTAAGATAGGACTTAATGAATGAGTTTATTTATGTGCTTTCTTTTGTCTGAAGTCTGGGGGTAATATGGTATGTACAGCTTCTAGCAGATACTTAAACTAGATGATACCTGCTGAGTGACTTTGGAGAGGAAGCTAGGACTGTTGTCTGATTGTCTAGGAGTAGGGAGGCCAAACCTGGGGACGATATGCTGAGTAAGACTTCAATGACTTCCTCTGCTGTTTCTCACTTGGTGGGGAAGGCTTCAACTTATTCAGGAAGGTATTTACTCTAGATAGGACATACTTATATTTTTTGTGGTTGGCATATGTGTGAAACTAAACTAATTCTGTCCAGGAATGTAGCCTTGGAGTTGATGTGTCTGGAGTATGGCCTGGATGTTGTTGCAAAGCTAAAGTTTTTATTATATGGTCTGCTTTGTTGTTTCCCTTAGTGATAAGGGAAGAATCTGACTGATA